ATTGCAAGTGAATTTGAGAAAAAATCGCATATACCAAACATTATTGGCGCTATCGATGCCAATTTTTATCAACCTGAATGCTTATATGCATGTCCATACATAACTAAAACTCGAAATTAAATATTTTAGGAACCCACATAGCGATCTTGCCACCAAGTCAAGGATAACTAGATTATATTAATAGAAAGGGGTGGCCTTCCATCGTATTGCAAAAAGTGGTGGATAGCAACTACATGGAAGTATATGCATGAATATGTAAATTATTAGAACCAATGGGAAACATTTTCACATTTTGTTACTTTAGTAGATTAAATAAGTTGTTAAAATACCAATATTATATAACGATACATTGTAAAAGAAAAACATTGTTTTATTACCAAAGGTTCACAGATGTCAGCGTTACCTGGAAGCACTCATGACGCGACGGTTTTTAAGGAGTCGGGATTGTTTAAAAACTCATCGACATTAACTCCGAGGCATACAAAATTAAAAAATGGTGTTAAAACGCCACTATTTCTTATTGGAGATCCTGCGTATCCACTTATTCCCTGGTTAATAAAACCATACACTAGAAGCAGTGTTGCCAAGTTTTAAGTTTGAGTTTTTTCTCGAAAAAAGCACCACATTTTTTATTGGAGGAGTTAATGGACTTTGCATGCATATAAAATTTTATGCCGATTCAAATTAATAAAAATTAATGTTTCTTGCTCGGCGTTCGAATTTATTCTGTTTAAATATTAATTTTTCTTCTTTTTGCTTAGTTTTTTCTACAATTCCTATCAAGCGAAAGTAACAACNAATATTAATTTTTCTTCTTTTTGCTTAATTTTTTCTACAATTCCTATCAAGCGAAAGTAACAACAAAAAATTAAGTTTAAGGAAATATGTTGAAGTTTGGAAGTTTCCCCTTTTTAAAGTGAAGCGCATAGTGGAAAAAATCGTTTTGTGTAAAAAAAGCTGCCTACTTGATTATTCATTTTACTGTTAGGAGACGCTATTGCTTTGTTTAATATTCGTAAAAAAACATAACAAATTCAGCCCAAACTAAAGGTCTAAAAATAGATTCCTGGTCCCAGCAACATGGACGCTTTTGCAGGCAATGGCAAATTACCGTATGTAATTCTTGTATGATTGAAAGTGCTGCCACATATTTATATTTTGACAAACAGATGCTCTTTCGCTTATGATTGTCATTGTGCCATGATGATATTTCCATTTTTGTAATGTTCTTTAGGAAACTTCCAATTGCTCTAAATTTAACTTACATTTTTGTTTCAGATTTACAGTTTTGGTGTCTTCAAACTAAAAAAAAGCACCAAAAAACGCACCAAGCACCAAACTCAAAAATTTTCGCGTGTTGAATTAAGAAAAGCACTAAATTTAGTGCTAGAAACACTAAGTTGGCAAAAGTAACTGGAAGTTTGAATGCAGCCGAAGAAACTTTTAATTGCCACTTGAGTTCTGCTCGAATAGTTGTCGAAAATGCTTTTAGTCGCCTTAAAGGTCGTTGGCGATGCCTAACTAAATGATTTGATGTGAATCCTACTTTCGTTCCGCAAGTTGTCTTAGCTTGTGCTATATTACATAATTTTGTTGAACAACAGAAAGAATTCTATTTAGAAATGTTGACACAATCAGCTCAAAATATAAGAGAATTTCCGCAGCCTCAAGACACTTTTTCTAGTGAAATAATTTTTGATGACAATGTTGACCTTAAGCACAAGACAATTTTCCTTGGAAAACCGCTTATGTATTTTAATAATTAACTACCAAACTCAAAGTACTAGTTATATAGCTTGAGTAACAAGCAACTATAATTAAAAGCTTTCATAATTCTTTACCACTGGTCAAAATAATAGCACCTAGACATTTTGACCAGTTCTGACTATTTTTCTTTTGTTTGCTTAATGATCGCCGATTTTTCAGAAAATTATAGCGCATTATATGACAACAGCCATATAACTCCAAAATTCAGTTTTTATACAGAGCTTAGAAAATTTAAAGAAATTTTAATCAGAATTTTGAACTTTTTATTCTGAATTTCTAGAACATTTTTGAGTACAGCACATACAATTTTAGTCTGATGATAACGGTCTTGTGCATTTTCTTCCATAAGAACTTCATAGAGTCCGACATCGGCATCGGCCTTTTTTCGCCGATTCTTTGGATTTTCTTTTCATATGTTCAGGTGAAGCGACAGACAACTGCCAACATCAAAAAACATTTGCAGACTGCTCACAAAAATTAATTCTTTTTTTTGATGGTGTTTCACGTTTTTTCCATACAAAATTATGTTCGACAATTTCCTTTTATATGGAGGACACTGGCAGCAAAAAAAAATTACAAAAATTAACGGGATCTTATAGCAACTTGCAACTTGCATGTCATTATACTAGAGTTAAATAGTCTACAAAACTGCATACCAAAATTCTGATTAAAAAGTTTGAAGTTTTGGTGAAAACAAGCAGAATTTATCTAATTTTTGTGCAAATTTTAAAATCTGGATTTATGTATATGGTGTTTGTTGTATACTAGCTAGACTTTTATAAAAAAATAATAAATATTAAATAAACAAAAGACAAATGCCAAATGCCGGTAAAAATATGTATGTGCATACATACATACAAACCTAGCATATAATTTCTAATGCATTGAATGCAAAATTGTGTATTTTTGTACAAAACAAAATGATTGGCATCGGCATCGGCCGATTCTTTCCCCAACAGCCGATTAATCGGCATCGGCATCGGTACCTGAAGAAAAATTGAAATCGGTCGGACTCTAGAAATTCATGCCAGAAAACTGCAAGACTATGAAACTGCATACCCAAAAATTTTCTAGAAATTCAGAATAATAAGTTCAAAATTTTGATGAAAAATTGTTAAATTTTTCTGAGCTCTGTATAAAAACTGAAAGTTGGATTTATATGTCTTTTGTAAACCATACTTTAATAAAAAAAAAAATAAAAAAAATTACAACTTAAAAAACTTTCTCATTTTCGTTGTTGGTGTTTCCTACAGGGTAGGAGTGTGATGTAATGTGGAACGATTTTCCGTCATCCCTTGTCCCAAACCAAATTTAACAAGGGATGACGGAAAATCGTTCCAGTATATATATTAGAATCTACTTTATTAAAAAAAAATAACGATTGAATAAATCACGCGAAACACTGAATGTTGTAAAAAATAAAAGCGTGCTCTTTACGTGGGCGCCACTGTAAATGTAATTGAAAATATGAATGCTGTGAATGAAACAAGCGATTACCCCCTCTATTCTAACAGAGTCACAAAATAGAGCTGGGATAACATGATAGTATCGATAGTATCGATAGTACTATCGTCGTGAAAGGTATTGAATTGAGACACTCAATTGCTTGAAAATTAAACAATTAATAAATTTATAAATTACTTTTCGATAGTACCGCCACTCGATAGTTTTCGAAACGATAGTTGAAAACATCGATAGTATCGATAGTACTATCATCGTGAAAGGTACTGAATTGAAACACTCAATTGCTTGAAAATTAAACAATTAATAAATTTATAAATTACTTTTCGATAGTACCGCCACTCGATAGTTTTCGAAACGATAGTTGAAAACATCGATAGTATCGATAGTACTATCATCGTGAAAGGTACTGAATTGAAACACTCAATTGCTTGAAAATTAAACAATTAATAAATTTATAAATTACTTTTCGATAGTACCGCCACTCGATAGTTTTCGAAACGATAGTTGAAAACATCGATAGTATCGATAGTACTATCATCGTGAAAGGTACTGAATTGAAACACTCAATTGCTTGAAAATTAAACAATTAATAAATTTATAAATTACTTTGTAAATTAAAGAGATTGCATATTTTTATACCCGAGCGCACTTGTGCACAAGGGTAAATTAATTTTGTTCACATAACGGTTGTTTGTAACAGCCAAAACGAATCGAGATAGATATAGACAAATGTATACAAAAATATACATAAAGTGTGGAGTATTCGGTACATACTAACTGCTCTGCTCTTAGTTACTGTTACGTTCTCTTTAACTGTGTATAAGTGATTTACTTTGTAACCTATGTACCCATTTACAAACATGAAACGAAGCAATAAAGCAGTCTTGAAACAGAACTGGTGTACACAACATGGTGGCAGCGGCGTAAAGAGCTTACGCAAATAAAAAAATATTTATATACATAAAAAGCGTGACCTACCTAGCTACATTAATTTCTATAGTAATAGGAAATTGCTACGAATTTCAATATGCCGGATTCCGACCAATCCATGTCGGCGGTAACACCGGGAAGCAGCAGCTTTATAGTGCGTTTTCCAGACCCATTTACTTTCAGTAACCGTGCGGAATGGCCTAGATGGCAGCGACGGTTTGAGAGATTTTGAATAGAAAGGATCAAATAAACACGCTGATTTGCTTAATGGCGGACCATGCGGATAACATTTTCTTATCTTTTCCCTTATCGCCAGCAAGCAAAGAAAAATATTCTGAGGTAATGCGAGCCTTTGCCAATCATTTTGTCGTCAAAACCAACGTCATCTATGAGCGTGCTAAATTTAACCTTCGAAGCCAACTTGACGGTGAGCTTATAGAAGACTTCATTACTGATTTGTACATACTTTCCGAAAACTGTAACTACGGTACCCTGCTCGATGAAATGATTCGCGACAAGATTGTTGTTGGAGTACGAGACCGCCGCTTGTCCGAAAAACTGCAACTATTGACCTCTTCTATACATAGACTCAGCGCAGAGTCAAACATACCAAAAAAGAGAAACAATAACACCGGAATTAAAGGTATTGGCCCAATGCACGCTTGCTTTGCTTGCTTGGCTTTGAGAACTGTCAAACAATTTTTAAAATCTACTAAAATGTATGAAAGTTGGCCTAGTGGCAGCTTTACTTCACTTGCTTGAAGCGCTTTAAAGTATCGATTAGCCGAAATCTCTATTTGACAGCGCGTTGTAGGCTTTTGACAACTCTTGACATTTCAATTTTTCGCGTCGATTTTGCTTGTGTGCAGTTTTTATCGCGTTCTTCATCAATTTTAGGTAAAATAATTTATATTAAACAATTATTTGTTGCTAACAACATTATTTTTTCAGATACCTTGCTTTTTATCGTTCCGGCCACCAGATTCGTTGCTTTTCATAAAGTTTCATTTGGCTGTGCCACTTCCACCCGTGTTTATAAGGCGTAATATTCTACTGGAGGTAAAAGAGTTTATATTAAACAATTATTTCTTGCTAACAACATTATTTTTTTCAGATACCTTGCTTTTTATCGTTCCGGCCACCAGATTCGTTGGTTTTCATAAAGTTTCATTTGCCTGTGCCACTTCCACCCGTGTTTATAAGGCGTAATATTCAACTGGAGGTAAAAGAGTTTATATTAAACAATTATTTGTTGCTAACAACATTATTTTTTTCAGATACCTTGCTTTTTATCGTTCCGGCCACCATGTGTTATGTTCATTGCTGTGCTCCGTTTTAAGGCGTAATATCAACTGGTAAAAGTTATTAAACATTTTGTCCACATTATTAGTACCTGCTTTATCGTCGGCACCAGATTCGTCAAAGTTCATTGCCTGTGCCATTCCCGTGTTTATTATTATTATTATTACGACGAAGCTATTTTGTTTTTGAAAGACACGGTCACGCCCAGACAGTAAGTGTACTTTACATTTGTACAACAAGTATTTATATTTTAAATTGTAATTTATATGTACATATTTTAAGGACAACAACAAACATCGTCTCCCAAACGCCAGAAGTTCTCGGACAAGAACCAGATATACTGGATACTTCCTTTGGATTCCAAATAGGCGAGAGTGGGAACATTATAATAGAAGAGCAAGAAACCACTGCCCCAACGCCGGCTAAGAGACAAAAGAAAAAAAACGATGAGAACGCCGCCTTTAACAATCTAGTCAACGAAGTAAGTCAGTTTGTGGATAGTCAAAAAAAAACACACAACAATTTCTTGGGTGCGATTGGCGAAGTGTTTGAGAAGGTCCCAGAAGAGAGCCGCCTAGATTTTCAAATGGACGTACTTCAATACGTCTATGCTCAATATAAAAATTATAAAAATTGAATTTATTTTAACTTAAAAGACTGAATGAAATATATGTTATGTTAACGCCATACTTACCTTGAACAAAAATTAATTTAAAAACCTGAAAGATGTGACGACATTTAAAACATTACCAATAAGTGCCCTCATACTGTGAGTTCAAATTTTTGTTTTCTATCTTAAATAATAAAAACAAAGCATATTCAGTGAGTAGTAATTATTTAAATTTTATTGTTAAAAAGATGTGTCTTCAGAGCATCCCTTAAATCATAATTATTTGAACTGCCTCGGTTCGATGACACCCTACTTATTGAGGGCAATGGAACTACTTCGTTTCGCCATGAGCCAGCGATGGTGGCATCCTCTTCGTAGCGATCAACAAAATCGCTTGCTACATAGTTTGCACACGAAAGCTTAATAAAATTATGCAAGACAATACAAGCTTTCACTATTTGTTCTGCATTTTTCGGGGCCATGCATAGCGTCGTTCTCAATATTCTCCATTTGGCAGTGAGTATTCCAAATGCGTTTTCTATAACTCTTCTTGCACGAGAGAGTCTTTTATTGAAATACTCTTGCTCTTCTGGAATACCTCTACCCGGATATGGTCGCATTAAATAACGCCGTAAGGGAAAAGCAGCATCTCCTACTAAATAATGTGGAAATGGCTCGGTTTCTCCTGGCAGAGGCTGATCATGTGGAAGGCCGAGCCTATCATTTTCAATAGCATCTGCCAGTTTTAAAAAGTGGTAGACACCGCCATCGCTTTGACTTCCATATGCTCCGATGTCAACGCAGGTAAAGGTATAATTGGCATCACATACGGCCAAAAGCACGATACTATAATTGCCTTTGTAATTATAGTACATCGACCCTGAATTCGCTGGACAGGTAATATTAATGTGCTTTCCGTCGATGGAACCAACGCAGTTGGGCATATTCCACAGCGACTTGAAGTCATTGGAAATACGTCCCCATTCCGTTTCTGACGGGGTCGCCACGTACAGGTCAGCTAACAGATCCCATATGGTCATACATGTCTCCAACGTAATCTTCCTGAAAGTCGTCAGGCCGATCCTGTGAACTATTGTGTGGAATTGCCGAGTGCCACCGTGAGCCAAATATCTGCAACAAAAAAATAAAACCAGATACATATATGGAAAATTATACGTATACTATTAAGTAAAACCGATTTTCTCTTACATCAGGGTTATAAATAGTCTGCAGCGGCTCGATATTGGTGTTCTGATTGAATATTTGGTCAGCGAAGCCTCCAGAAATTCGTGCAGCACATTAAATAACGAAAAGGGCATTCTTAATGTCTTGTTAAACTGCTCCTCATCTGCAGCCAAGTTTCTTAATGAACTTTCAAACAATCCATATTTGTGTCGCTCTAAGTACAATTTCCGAACCCAAAATCGGCGCTTCTGTTTTAATCGCAGTTTTAATTTACGCATTTTCGCTAAAATTAGGAAAATTCTCAAAACTTGTTCAGCATTTCGAGTCAACATTTTGTACTGCCAAATGAAACTTTATGAAAACCAACGAATCTGGTGGCCGGAACGATAAAAAGCAAGGTATCTGAAAAAAAATAATGTTGTTAGCAACAAATAATTGTTTAATATAAACTCTTTTACCTCCAATTGAATATTACGTCTTATAAACACGGGTGGTGAGTGGCGCAGCCAAATGCAGCTTCACCAAAACCGGAACGATAAAAAAGCAAGGTATCTGTAAAAAATAATGTTCTTAGTAACAAATAATTGTTTAATAACATATATTTTAACTAAAATTCACAATTATACTTGCTGGCACAACAAAGAATGGCGGGTATATTTGCGCGCATTGAAAATCAGCTGACTACTATGACAGCGTTCAAAGCTACCATTAGGCCATAAAAGCCTTCAAAGTAAAGCAAAGCAAACTAAAGTGAGCAAAGCAAGCAAAGCAAGCGTGCATTGGGCCAATACCTTAAGAAGCCGCAGAGCAAATGCATTTGGTGTGGCTCTCACCAAATACACGTGAAGCTGTCCGGCGAAGGGGAAGAAGAGTAACAAATGTCTTGGATACGAGCATGAGGTTACAGTTGATTACAAAAAATGCAATTGCATACATAAACGCCGAAGAACGTACACAGGTAGAAACGCTAAAATCCACTGTTGATATAGAGAAAGAGTTTCCATCTCTATTCAATGGGCTCGGTTGTTTGAAAGACTTCCAGTGTAACATCAAACTAAAAAATGATGTGATGCCTTTTCAGATCTTTACAGCACGTAGGGTACCCGCAGCTGTTCGCGATGATTTGACGGCGAAACTAGACGAAATGCTTAAGATGAAGGTAATAAAAGAAGTAGACGAGCCCACACCTTGCTGTTCCCCAATGGTAATTACTACCAAAAGTAATGGGGATATTCGACTGTGCGTCGACCTAACCAAGATAAATGCAGGCGTTGAGAGTGAAATACACCCAATGCCGGTAGCCGACCATACATTAGCACAACTAGCAGGGGCAAAACTTTTCTCCAAATTGGACGCCAACTCGGGTTTTTGGCAAGTAAAATTTAACGCGGCATCACAATTATTGACAACGTTTTTAACCCCGTTTGGTAGGTACTGTTTTTTGAGAATGCCTTTTGGCATTTCTTCGGCCCCGGAGGAAAAACGAATGCAATATATACTGCGCGACATCAAGAGGGCAGTGTGCCAAATGGATGATATTCTAGTGTTCGGCTCCGATGGCAAATCGCGCGATGACATTTTACGTCGGGTTTTATGCAGATTGAAGGTGAATGTCGCTACACTGAATTCGTCCAAACAGTTCAAGGATAGCGGCCATCGAGAAATATCCAACACCAACAACGGTTACTGAGTTGAGAAGGTTCCTTGGAATGGTAAATTTCCTTAGTAAATTCGTTCCACATCTGTCATATTTGACGCAAGCGCTCAATAAGCTACAACGAAGCACGACAGAATTCCAATGGAGAAGCAGCCAAGAAATATCATTTCGACAGCTGAAAGAGATGCTTATCCAAACGCCGATCCTCGAGCTCTTCGATCCGTCCCACAAAACTATTCATTCGACCGACGCATCATCCTACGGCCTGAGAGCAGTTTTGCTACAAATCGACGAAGGGGACATACTGCGTCCAATAGCGTATGCGTCAAGATCACTTTCGCCGACAGAACGAGGCTATGAACAGATAGAGAAGGAGGCGTTAGCGATAACTTGGGCGGCNCCAATAGCGTATGCGTCAAGATCACTTTCGCCGACAGAACGAGGCTATGAACAGATAGAGAAGGAGGCGTTAGCGATTATTTGGGTAAAGTGGTAAAATTTCCAGAACTACTCATGGGAATCAAGTTCAGCATAGAGACCGACCACAAGCCTTTAATAGCCATCTTTACGTCGAAAAATTTGCACGAGCTCACACCAAGGCTACAAATTTCAGACTGCGTATGATGAAATACCAATATGAAATCTATTACACAGCGGGAAAATTCTTAGTAGTGGCAGATGCACTGTCACGTCATCCAATCGAAGAAGAGGTAGAAGCGGGCGAAGGTTGCCTTGAAGAGGACGCTAGAACATATGTAAACAACGTAATGGCCAGTCTGCCCATTACCCAAGGTAAATTAAATATTTATGAATGTGCTCAAAAGAGAGACACAATTTTGCAAAAAGTCGCGATAGATACCGAATCGAAGCACAGATTCGTCCATACTACAACGAGAAACACTGCCTATCAGTAAACAATGAATTGCTTATGCACGGCTGTCGCGTTGTAGTTCCTGCGGAGCTTCGCCATGAAGTCTTAGAGAAGATATACGCCGGCCATTTGGAATTGTGAAATGTAAGACTAGGGCTAAACAATCTGTTTGGTGGCCAGGCTGTGGAAAATATATCTAAAACCATATAAGAAAATGCTCCATCGGCATTCAAAATACCACGCCGCACCATGAAAGCTTGATGAGCACCAAGACACCGGAGCGTCCTTGGAAAATCGTAGGGATCGACTTATTTTCCCACAATTCAAGCTGCTACATAATCGTCAGTGACTATTTCTCGCTATATCCAGAAATAGCGAAACTTGAAAACCAAACTACGAGCTGCGTCATTAACCATCTCAAATCAATTTTTGTAGGCATGGCATACCTGTGATCGGCAGATCGGCTAACGCACCACAGTTCCAGCGTGTTAATCAATCAGCCTTCGCGACGTTCGCCAGACAATGGGGGTTTCAAAACATAACTTCATCCCCACGCTACCCGCAAAGCAATGGCTTCATTGAGTCTTCTGTGAAAACTGTAAAGTCCTTGTTGAAGAAGAATAAGGACCCACATCTGGCGCTGATGGAGTATCGAGCAACACCATTAGCAAACGGCTTTTCACCAGCAGAGATGTTAATGGGCAGAAAGATCTGCACTACTCTACCTGTAACGCAGCAGCAATTGGTGCCAAATTACGACCTTGAAACGTCAGTAGAAAATGACAGGGCGCTGAAAAGCAAGCAAGCCGCCAATTATGATAAGAGGCACGGGGTTAGTCATCGGTAACTATTTCAAGTGGGAGATGTTGTGTGGATTCGTGAATTAAGCATGTGGGGTCGCATCAAACAACGAGCAGAAACATCATGCTCTTATACCGTTAACACCAGCAACGGAGATTTTCGCAGAACCTCATTCCATCTCGGGCCTGCCAGGCGCAAAGATGTTCCATACGAGCCTGGGGAGGTAAGAGATATCATCGAGACAACAACAAAAGATACTTCAGAAGTTTCTGAAACCGAAAATCCCAGCACTAATGCAGCAGGTGCGCCTACCACGACATCACCATCCACTATACCGAGATATATAACTACGACAAAATCGGGTCGCATAATTAAACATCCCGATTGGTATAATACATAGGAAAATATCTTAGGTTAATAACTATATCTGGATTAATAATGCAATATGACATCCTCCAATAAGTGGGAAAGCATTCGGGAAACAGTAAAGATCTCATGTCCTGCTTCAGTCTGGTTAAGAAGGACGTCGAAACCAATACTCTAAAGAGGGTTAACTTAAAATTGGGTGTTCCTGAAGATGTATTCGGTAAACTGCTCAGGCCCGCTAAGGTCACTGTACGCCGATTTGGTTTTTTTCAACGGAAACCAATCCAGTCGGCCAAAACCTAGCATTTGAAAATTCAAATGAATATTCGGAACGTGACGGTGCGCCCTCTTTGTTTTCTTCAACGACCGAAAAGACTAAGGTCCCTACAGTCGAAGACTTATTATATACTTCTAAGCCTACAAATGAATTAAGTAGAACTTATACGCTTTATTATCAGAATGTAAGTGGTATGCGTACAAAATCCTCTAAATTTTATCGTAGTGTTGTTTCACATGAATATGATAACTGAGACTTGGTTGAATGAAAATTTTTCTTCAAATGAACTTTTTGATAGTTATTATCAGGGAACGGATTTTATGGAAATTGCCTTTTTTCTGCTAAAGAGATAGAGTATATTCGATTAAGAATGTCCACGATTTAGCTTTCCCTGATTCCATATATACACATTTGATGTTGCCTTTTTTAAAATATTTGCCTTTTTTTGCCTTTTTTAAGATATTTGCCTTTTATACCTTTAAAAAAGTGATTATAGCATTTACAATTTTTTTGTTTTAAGATTAAAAAATATGCACATGCTCATGCGGCTTAAAGAAGCGGGACCTCTTGCCAAATTGGTGCTGGAAAAATTCTAAGCCGTTTTCTCAGCTAACGTAGGCTTGGATACAATAAGGGG